GTAGGGGGGGGCGGACCAACATCTGCTTGGGTTTGGTTGGCGTCGCTGCTGGTTGTGCAAAGGTGCCTACCCTTCGGGCCCCCGTCACAAGAGAACGACTCTCAGGCGTGAACGTACGCCGACTATCACAACTACCGTAGAGCCTCGGGCAGCCCAAAGCATCGAAATTTATTTCCTTATATCCCAATGTCATTCTCGAAATGGTAAATACGTCGAAGTACGTGGTTGATGCCTCGTTTTTCCCCTCCAGCAGCCTATCAAACCGCCGCCGCCGCCGCCGCCGCCACGCCGGCCTGCCTCTCCCCGTAGCAAACCTCGCCCGTCCAGCCAAACCCTCGACAGATAACAGGAATCGGCCTCCTCCCCCCATACCCGGCCGACGCCTCGACAACGACCAACACCCCCCACCCCCCTTCTATTCAAGCAAGTCTGGGTCGCAGTGCCTCAAAAAAACGGATACAGAATTTTTCACAAACGCACACGTCGCCCACCTCTACTTACAAAAAGACGCCGTTACAACACTTTGAATAAACGCGCACCTGGCCCACTTCACATGTTCCCAGTGCGCCTTGGCCCTGACGCCCCACGTGACGTAGTTCTTGTCCTCGTCCTCGGTTTCCTCGCGGTCCACGCAGAAGGCGAGGTAGGACTGAGGGAATCGCACCTCCTCGGGGTACTTGACGTGATTCACCTCGTCCGTGTACATACCCGCGTCCCCCTGGCGGAGAGAGAGGAATTGGCAGACAGACAGGCAAGAAGAAAACAGAGAAACAACCAGACGCACGGAGAGAGAGAGACAGAGAGAGAGACAGAGAAACGGGGGACGAAAGAAACAAAGACAGAGGGAGACAGGGACAGAGCGAGAGAAAGAGAGCGAGAGAGAGAAAGAGACACGGAGAGTGCGAGAGAGATGCACAAGAAACGCACCAAATATGCACGCACGAGGCTGTTAAGAAGGCAGAGCGTCCAGAACCACATTTCCAGGAGCAAAAAAAGAGGAGCCCAAACAGAGCCGTTAGGTGAGTCCACCTATCTTCGTTCTTCTGTACGTGGGGAACTAGTGGAAGCCGACCAGCGGAGAACGAACCAGTCGGCCATGCAGCAAAAAAAACTTGTGCTGTCTGCAAACCAAAACCCCGAAGGTACTTGGAACAAAGGTAGGCTTGCACAAGCACATATGCAACGGGAACACACACTCACAAAGTACATGGGGCCCTTATCCTTCGAGTCCGGATCCATGTCGAACATGAGCCTTCTCATCGCCTCATCGCTATGGTCCTGGTTGCCGAGGCAGCAAATCGTTATGCCCACCAGTGTCGCCATCATACATTGGCAAGGCGCACCCGGGGGGGGGGCAGGAAGATAGGAAAAAGCACGAGTTAGACAACGACAGCAAATTGAAGCCGAGGGAGGGGGGAGGCTGTGCGTTGCTCTGCGAAATGAATTCGACAAAACACTTGGAAAAAATTCCGACGAACCAAAGGGAAGTGATACATTCGATAAACCTGGTTGTCGTCACCACAAACAACAACAGCAACCCCACGTTATTCTGGCTACGTGATAGTCAAAAAAATTGTCGTCCCCGCATATAGGAGCCCCCGGGAGGGCGGGGGAGGACCCATCAGGGTCTTCTTCGCGAGAGAAAACAAGCAAGATACCAAAGACCACGTTCTACCCCTCGTCCTGCCAGCGAACAACAACAAAGACGATCCAAGCGCTGACATCAGGCCAACTCAAAGTTAACAGCCATCCGAAAGAGCGGCGATCACAATCGGGGATAAGCACTGAAGCCTCACGATCTTCTAGCAGTAGAAATGGGGCAGCAGAAGAGGGACCGCCAAACAAAATTGTTCTCTCAACGGGACGCCTGGCAAGAGCAAACATTGACACGCCGGCAAACGGTACATCCAGTGTAGTCGCGAAAATAACACCGTCACCTTACAGCGCGGATTCCCCCCGAAGGAGAGCATTCAGAACAGGCCCGCAGTTAAGAAGAAGATTTCGCTAAGAAACAGAGTAAGAAAAAAGGGTTAAGAAACACATCTCGGCGGTTGGAGCCTACACTTAACTCTATAAAACAACCTGTGCTCGACAGTGGCGGTCAAAAAAGAACCTGAGTCTCGACCCGTTCTTGACGTTCCTTGTCTCCGGGCCCGTTCTATACTCAAGGCGCCGAGATTGGTGTTTCCACAGGAATGGCAACAATTTGTTTCCCGGTGCCAATCGAGATGGGCGATCAATGGCGGCCCGTGCCAAACCGGAACATAAAAGAACATGCGGAGAAATACACAAATTCAACATTATGAAGAGAGACAAGAGGCACTGACAGACACTACCAGACACAAAGGTACTTACATCGACCCGGTCCTCTTCAGGCACGGCCGCCGCTACGTTCTTGAGGCGCAAGAGATCGTCTCCTTTCCCGTCACCTAACGGCGTGTTCTTCGCCTGCGACCAGGGGGGTGGCGGGGGGGCGGAGGGTAAGGGTAAGAACGGGGAGGGGGGATTGGCATAGTGTTTGTAGAAGTATGATTGTATAGAATCTGCTGTCTGGCCGGTATCGTGAACGAGATCACAGCTCTTGGTTTGTTGACTGTTTGCCGTAAACAAAAAAGGACGGGGGGCGGCGGAGGGAGGCACCAGTAAGAAACGGCCTAGAAACGACGAGACAGTCAAACACACCCGCACATACACCGGTCTGTATGGCTTCACCAGCGAGTGGGTAGGGAACTCGGAGCATGATGTGCACTTGGAAATGAATTGCCCATTCTCTCTTCCGTATATATCTGTCTACATCTCCTTCTCCCGAGGTCTGTCTCTGTCTCGTCTGTCTCTGCTTTTTCTCTCTCTGCACCTCCAGCTCTCTCTCTCCCTCTCCTTCTCCTTCCCCCCCCCCCTCCCTCTCCGGGCCATCGTTCTTCTTGTAGTACCAACCCATGCAAGTAGAGCATTGGAGCAAGAATACAATTTCCAAGACTATGAAGGGCGAGGCAGGGATGAGCTCATGTCGTCGCTAGCCCCAGCCATCGGACCGTTGACCACGCAGTCCAACACCGAAATATGATGGCGTTGTTATTACTGAAGAACAGAGCCAAGTGCGTGGAAAATATCTGTGACCTTTGAACTATCCGAGGTCGCATTCGGTCGCACCGGGGAGGTGGGTCGAGTCGGCCTATCACAGGGCCCTCCCTCCCTCTCTTGGAGGTCCATACATTGATATCGAACGACATAGTACATATCTAACGAAATCCACATGAAATATTTCAACACCGCTGGACAAGCATGAATGGCGGACAAAACACCGTCAGATGACACTGCTGTACCTTGCCCGCGTAAACCTCGCGAAAAACGGTAGGCTCGTTCGGGTTGCATGGGTACCGCCGCCTACCCACACGAAAAAGAAAGAGAAGCCAAACTCGCACCCCAACCCCCACGGGGCTCCACACAACCCCCCCCCCCCCCCCCCCCCCCCCCCCCCCCCCCCCCCCCCCCCCCCCCCCCCCCCCCCCCCCCCCCCCCCC